TCATGGACGAGAGGCGCATCGGTCCTGAGGGAAGGAACTGTAGGTGGGGGGGGGGACGTGTGTGTGTGTGTGAGGGGGAAGAAGGTGCCAGAGGAGAGAGGGCACCAGCCTAGGGCAAAAGGGTTCAGAGGAAAGACAGGCGCTCCCTTTTCATGTTTGGTATTACCTACTGGCAGATCCACTTCTTCAGTCCCCAGAGCTAGCAAAAAGGGGAAAATATTAAAGCATCACCTTAACAGGACTGGCAGAGGATGGGTAGGGAGGAAGAGGAGGAAATGGCATTGCCACCCTAGTGCGGGGAGATGCGCAGATTTGTTGTGATTTTTTGACTACAGAGCTCTCTCATTCCCAGGCAGCCAAGGCCCCATGGGAATTTTGAGAGCTGTGATCCAAAATCACACATTTCTTTACCTTTGTAAGGGATCTGCTGTGGATATCCAGGGTGCGGCAAGCAGGAGGAGGAAATGACAGTCTGAGGTTGGTTGTTGGGGTAAAGGCCAGGAGGCACAAAAATGAATTCCTGCTAGTTTGTGTATACCAGGGATGCCCTGGGGGCTGTACCCAAAAGGACGCGGCAGAAGGTGTACATAGGCATTTGCTAGGAGGTCTGCAGTAGAAGGGGACGTGGTGGCGCTGCGGGTTAAACCGCAGAAGCCTGTGCTGCAGGGTCAGAAGACCAGCAGTCGTAAGATCGAATCCACGCAACGGAGTGAGCGCCCGTCGCCTGTCCCAGCTCCCGCCAACCTAGCAGTTCAAAAACATGCAAATGCGAGTAGATAAATGGGGACCACCTCGGTGGGAAGGTAACAGCGTTCCGTGTCTAAGTCGCACTGGCCATGTGACCACGGAAGAGTGCCTCCGGACAAACGCTGGCTCCATGGCTTGGAAACGGGGATGAGCACCACCCCTAGAGTCGAACACGACTGGACAAAAATTGTAAGGGGGAACCTTTATCTTTACTGCAGTAGAATGAGAAGGGGCTTCGGACAGTACCAGCAATTGAACCCCACCCTCCTTTTAGATTGCTAGGGAAAGAAGACTTGAGGGAAAACAGTGGATTTTCGTGTGAAACTATTTTTGACATTTGTTGTGATACTGATCATCACTAAGAGTGCACTCTGATGGTGATACAGATTGTGTTTTGGACAGCTTTTGGCATGGTCCAGTTCAATGTTTTTTCTGGCAGCCAGGCAATGTACAGGAAGCCCTGAACAAGCCCAGCCTCGCTCTGTGTACAATCTGGACCTTTTTGGTCCAGTTGCAAATCTATCTGTACAGTATTCTCAAAGGCTTTCACGGCTGGGATCTGATGGTTATTGTGGGTTTTTCAGGCTCTTTGGCCGTGTTCTGAAGGTTGTTCTTCCTGACGTTTCGCCAGTCTCTATGGCTGGCATCTTCAGAGGACAGAAGTAGGAACTCTGCCCTTGCTCTGTTCCTGCTCCAGAGTTCCTACCCCAGTCCTCTGAAGATGCCGGCCACAGAGACTGGCAAAACGTCAGGAAGAACAACTTTCAGAACACGGCCAAAGAGCCTGAAAAACCCACAACAACCATGGAAATC